TTTCAATTCAGTTATTCCTGTGTGAATTTTTCAGTTTATTGTGAGTTCTTCTGAAATCTTTTAAAAGCCATTTTTTCATTCACCAAAAATTCTAGCAATTGTAGAATTCTTTGACTAACTTCTCCAATAGTAATTTATGTTTATTTGTTAAAAATTTTAATTATTTATATAATTTAAAGAAATGTATATTGGATGATATAGTTTTATCACTTTTGGCGATATCTACAAAATTACATTTGTCTGATTTTTAATTCTTTTCAGAGTAGCAATTTAAGTGATTATTAAGGAACATAGTAGGATTTGTGCTTCTTATGAACATATTTACTGTTCAGAAAAGTGTATTTTACAGTTTCCATGTAAGATTAATACACCATTCACCATAAATAGAAATCCTTGAAGGAGGATATGATGTTTCATTAGAATTAAAAATGTTAAAATTTGGCTACTATTGGAAAAACAAATTTAAGAAAAGGCCTTGGTGAAAGGATGGGAAAAAAAGAACAAATTGGGAACAATAAAAATGATGTTCAAAGATACATGAAAAAAACTACCAAAGGGAAGAAGGATGTCCTCAAAGGTGAAGCGTGGAAGCCTGATTAATTCATGAATGCATCCAGAAGTGTGTTGTTATTATGTTCAAGAGTATATTCATGAATATATTTACAAGATTATAGGTGAATTTAGATATTCAGCAAATTAGTCATTTGGTGATTTGTTTCTTAGAATTCTTTCTTCCTCGTCTTCTAAATTCTGTTATGAAAGAATTCTCTACTTGCCTGTCTGTTACTTGAGAGGAGTTTAAGCAGAAACAAAGTGAATGACTAATTGTTGAGAGAGATCTCCATAATAAATTGATAGGAAGGCAGATCAGGGGATTATTCTAGTAACTATCTACAGTGAAGTATAAGATACATACAAGTGTACAAGTCATGAGTGTATGGGACAATGTAACTTATATGCAGACCAGCACATAAAACGTTACCAGCCTTCCAGAAAAGTTTCTTGTTCCTCATCCCAGACAATTTCCTTCCCCAAAGGAACCACTGTTCTGACTTCTGTCACCACAGGCCAGCTCTGTCTTTATATGTACATTTTGAACTTTATATAAATAGAATCATTCATAGGAACTCTGTAGTGTCATCTGTATTTCTCGGCATAGTGTTTGTGAGATTCCTTCTTGCTGCGTGTGGATATAATTTGTTCTTATTGTATAAGATTCCTCAGTAGGAACATTCTGCTATTGTATCCATTCTATTGTTGATGAACATTTGTATTTTCCTTTGAACCTATTACAGAGGCGGTTGCTATGTACATTCTAATATTGTACATGTGTTTTGGTGATGATATATATACATTTGTTTAAAAGATTTTGAAGATTTCTGCAAAGTTTTAATTTACTGACATTTTAATCTGACCAATTTGAGGGTTATACCTGGGTATGGATTTGCTGGGTCACAATAGAGGTATATGTTCAGCTTTAGTTGATGTTGCCAAAGAATTTTCCAGAGTGGTTGTATCAATTTACTGCTGGTTCCCACCAGCAGTCTGGGTTCCAGTTCCTCTCCATCCTTGCCAACTGTTGGTATTATGATGTATCACGCACATTTTCATACACTTATTTACCACTTTGACTTTCTCTTTTGTAATGTGTCTACTCAATTCTTTAGCACATTTTAATAATGGGATAGTCTGTCTTCCCTATTGATTTGTAGGCATTGTTTATATATTCTGGGTACAAGTTATTCTGCTCACGTACGTATTAAAATCTTCTTACTGCCTTTGCTCTGTGAATCTCTGTTTTAAAATGTAGGGTATTAATAGAAAATTGGAGGTATGGTAAGGCCAACAGACAAGGAGATAAGTGCCACTGAAGAGATGACTTGTTACTCACAGAGCCCAAGAGGAGGGGGCAGGCCATACCATGAAGGGCCACCTGGGGAAGCACCAGGTTGGTCAGTAGGTGGAGTGAGAGGAAAGAAATGTGGGCAAGAGCCTTTACTGTGGTTTCCATGAGAAGGAAAGTGTGAAGCAGGGTGAACTAGGATTGGCTGGTTTGAATCATTTCAGCAGGCCCTGGGGCACAGGGGCATTGTCTGGTACCTGGTCCTGGGGTGGTAGGACAGGCAGATAGTGAGCCAGAGAGTGAAAGCCCCATAAAGGAGGTGGTTGCTGTGTAGATTTATATTTGTAAAGTGTGCTTGTGGGCAAATTGTTTTCTATCTCTAGGAGCTGGCTAACTGGAAGAGGGGCAGTCCCTTCAAAATCAGCAAGGTTTCAGATGTCAAACCATCAGAATGCAGAAGTAAAGACTTGGTTACTACAGTCTCTGGACTCCCTCCCTGCCGGAGAACTGTCAGTACCATAACATAACTTACTTTCAAGAGACTCCCCATGGGAGCCTGAATTGTCCAGTAAAGCTTGTTTGCTTCTGAGCTGAGCTCCCTGACAGCCTCCTCACCCAAGCTGACTGGTCAGCCTGGGGATTCGAGCCTCACCAGGATCTGCCAACAGGGCCAGAGTGGTGCTCGCATGTGGTCAGCTCTTCTCGGAGAAGACATTCATTGCCTGTGTCTACCTGTCCAACTGACTCCCCTGCCGTCAGGTTGAGCTCTACTCTGCCTCCCCGCTAAGCCTTCCCAATTCCCCATCTAAGCCCCCAGCCACATCCATGTTTCCTCCCTGAATTTCCATAGTAAGTTTTTCTCTTCTTTTATGGAACTTTACAGTTTCTGCTACTTGACATATGTTGTATGCACTTGTGTAAAGGGGATAAAGGCAGATGCACAAACAACATCTGCCTTTATCTCCTTTACGCAAGTGCAGAGTACGGGAACTGAGTGAGTGTGTCTTGTTCAGTCTCCTGTTACTCCTTCCTTCTCTGCACCCCTGGTGTCTAGCACAATCCTTGGTGAATCACTGTTCAAGAAGTATTTATTGAATGACAGAGACTTAATATTTTATGTTAAGTTCCCGCAGAAGCAGACCCTAAACCAAGTATACTTAAATGAGTCATTTACTTGGGCAGTGATCCCCAGAAGCACTGGTGGGTGTAGGGAAGAAAGAGGGAAGATTGGGGAGCTGCCAGTTCAGTGTGGGCCAGAGAATTATTTACCCCTGAAGGCAGGTGTTGCTCATTCCTGCTGGTACTCTTTATAGGACACAGAACTGTTCCATCTGGATTATGTGTCCAGATGTCACTGGGTGTGGGCAGCCCCCTGGACCTGTAAATTCCCTGACACATAGCAGAGCGTGTTCATGTGGTGGAACAGTCCCTCTGCAGGGTCCTCGGTGGCTACAGTGAGAAACTAAGCCATAGACCTGTGAGTGCCGATGGGTTATGGGTGGGGCACCAAGGCATCCAGGATCCCTAAGTGGTAAAATGAAGGTTACGTAGCCACAGGTCCTAAAATCTAGGTACCTATAACTATTGACCAAGAGACAGAGAAGAAAAGGGACAAGTTTACAGGCATTTCCTTGAGGGGAGCAGCCAGCTGACATGGGGGGTAGGTAGGTGATGTCCTCATGGGTCTCCCACATTTCCCCACTCTGTGCCTGGCTCCCACAGCTGGGAACAGCTGGGCTGCATCTCCGGCTAAGCTGTCCGAAAAACCATGGCACGGTCTGGGAGGTGGGCAGGGGTCCTCCCAGTTGTCCTACTCTCACATGAGCCCTCCCTACCTCCAAGCAGCACTATTCCTCCGAGCGTGTGCTTTCATCTTTTCCCCTTCATGCAACCGGAGGCCACTTCTCCCCTTTGCTGAGCCTGTTGGTGACCAATTCCTCCCTTGGAAACATCTGTGAGTCCTGGCCCTAAGCTAGCTCAGCCTTTTCTTATTTTGCTCTGAGTTCTCTTGCTGCACAGAGGTGGGGGGCCTCTGGGAGCCACTGGCCACATGGGCCTGGTGAAGTGGAGCAGGGTAAATTTAACCAAGGCTAACAGGAATCAAGATCATGTGGACCCCAGCCCCACCCCCAACCCAGTTTAGGAAACCCAAGTCAGAAAAGCATATGAGAATGCAGTGGGAATGGATAAAAAGTGGAAACTGTGACTCTGGAGTTTGGCTTGAATGCAAACGTCATCATTTTCCTCAACACACATGGACATCTCAGCAAAGTTCCCTGTTCCAGACATTCTTGAATTGGCCAATTTATATTTTATATTTTTGGACATTCTTCTGGAGTGATCTGTCAATGAACATAGACCAGATTCCCTTTCTTTTTTCTATTAGCAAAATTCTACAGAAATGTTTCCCAAACCCATCAGTTCCCTCGAGCTCTCTAGAAATCACAAGCAGGCGGCCCCATGTGTCAGCCGACTGCAGTGTTCCTAACAGTCCACTGGCCCCATGCTTTGAGTAGTCCCCCAGGACGGAGTTTTCCTCACGCTCTGGCCACAATCCTAGGCTGAGAGGGCCAGGTACAATTGTGGAGTTGACAAGCGTGTTTTTTTAATAGAGCACATTGATTCTGGGTTGTGGTTTAAATACAGTAATGTGCTTAAAAGAAAGAAGAGAAGAACAAACACAAAGGGTACTGCAGATTGGAAACTGGAGTGATGTGGCGAGAACACTGGCCTGGAAGATCATCCCCAAACATTAATAAATAACATTGTGACCTTGAACAAGTCCCTCAACATTGCTGACTTCAGTTTCCTCCTCATTTCCAAAACTGGGCAACATTTCAGCTCTAAAATTCTTAAGGACACATAAAATATCAAAATACACAGACATGGATAACCTCATACTCTATGGATATGGAAAACAGTGCCTTATGTGATAAACAGATACTTGTTAGTGGACTGAAAACTAAGTAGTCCAGGTGAGGATTCTGAGCAGGGAAGGCGAGACACTGGACCATGATGTCATCTCTCAAATTTAATGGTTGTATATTTTTATAATGTGTTTTATGAAGTGTATTAGCAAGATCTTGAAACACAAAGTGCTGCTCCTTTGAATCAACATTTAAAGATTTTTCTCTCCACTCTTTCAGGTGTCAGGATGAAAACTTCAATTTATTACAAGCCTCTTGTATGCGTGTCAGTATTACGAATTCACATACCAACCCATTCTTGGGTCCTTCTAGCGATGAAGGAGCTGCAGAGGTTAAAGACCTTGCCAAGGTCACGCAGCTAGTAAGTAGAAGGGCTGGGATCTGAAACCAGCACCTGTTTCTGTCCACTCATCACCAGCACAATCCTGGTGATGCCATGAGATGCTCTGAGAACAATGCCTTGACTCTCAAAGTTCACTTGGCTTGTCTCCAATGTACTTGACCTTATGAAAACGACTTTTGGAAACACTAACCTATCTTTGTCTTCAGAAAAATTCTAGGGGACCAGGCTGTGTGATCTATGGGTGAGCTCAGCACAGTATCCCCAACAAGAAGGAAGGCTCTAGGCTGTTGGTGTGCTGGGACAGCTGTTAGAAATAACACGGGCCAGCTTGCCTGAACAACTGCGATCACATCTTCTGCAAAGGGGTCATTTTCTCAGGGGTCTTTCAATCTAGGCTTTAAGCTTCATCAAATCTCATAAACTGGTACATTGATTTGCCTTCTGTCTTTTGCATTTGGTTTTCCAATATTCTAAGAACAGGTTTTGCAATGTCACCTGATCTGTAGAGTTTCTCACTGAATGCAAGTTTTCATGGTTTCATCTGAAGCTAGAAACAGGATTAAACTCTGAAATGACCATTAGACACCAAATTCTATTCTCATCTCCTCCTGAGACAAGGGAAGGGTGATACAGTTTGCCCAGTCTCAAGTCTGTCCCACACGGCCAGCCTGAAACTGGGTCCTGAGTCAGTCTTCTTGTTTTAATTTGTTTATTTGTGATGGGGACTTGCTGCTTCTAGGAGGGTCTCATTAAAAAAAAAAAAATCTCAGAAGACATCAAAAAGTTCTGACAAAACCTCTTGATGATTTAAGTGTAAATATGTCAGAGACATATGGTTTCTATTATTCCTGAAATAACACATGGGTTTAAAAATCAAGGGAAAAGTGTTTGGTAAAACACATTCAGGACTTGGCTAAACGTTTTTCAAAGGCCAGTTCTGAAGCCTGAAGGGGAAAACACCCAGAGGGGGGCAAGTCCAAGTGCTCCACTCCTATCTGGTTTGTTTCTTTTCTTGATCAAGGATGACAGTTGTGCTGCCACCAGAGCACTGATTTATCTGCCACCACGAGGAATTTATCTGGCGAGTTACGTTTTAGTGAGCAAGTCTAGGTCCTGATCCTATCCCCATTGTTTACTATCAATACCAGTTTTAGTCAAGTTAATGCATCTGAAAAATGAGAAAATTATATATATCATAGGATTGTTGTGAGCATTTGCAGTAATACATGTCAACTACCTGGCACGTAGTAGACGTTTAATAAGAGGCAGCATTTAAAACGATCATTATTCTATATATCTGTGGGTCTGTTTCTTTTTTGTTATATTCACTAGTTTGCTATATTTTAAAAGTCCCACATATGAGCGATATCATACAGTATTTACCTTTCTCTGTCTGACTTATTTCACTTAGCATCATATACTCCAACTAGGGGTTACCAGTGGGAGGGAGGTGCAAAATAGGGGTGGGGAAGTGGGAGGTGCAAACTACTGGGGGCTAGGTAGGCTCAAGGATGTACAACACGGGGAATATAGCCAGTATTTTGTAGTAACTGTAAATGGAAAGTAACCTCTAAAAATTGTAATAAAATTTAAAAATGTTAAAAATAAAATAATACACATAAAATAGTGTATACAGTAGAGTGATACAGCTTAAAAAAATAATAATAGTGAAACACATGCCCATGTACCCACAACCAGCTTAATAAAAAGAGCAATAATAATACTTTGAAAAAAAGATAAAATGATCATTATTCATTTGAAAAGTGGTTATGGGAGGATGGGTGATGGAACCTCAAAATTGTTTTCAGGGTATGAAGAATCTGTGGGATCACATGAGATCCTTTACCCACCTCCCCAACCAGAGACACAGCTGGTAGAGGAATAGAGTAACAGTATCAACAACTGCAACACAAGAAGAAACAAGAGTGAGCCCCAAACTGGGAGGCCAGGATGAAGTCAGTCTCCACTGACCAACTCATCAGGGCATGTGCACCTCAAGGCATATTTTTACATGGTTTCTAATTTAGGATATTCATTTTTAACTGATATTTGGATAATGTTTTTTAATTAATTAATTTTAACAACTTTATTGAGCTATGATTGACTTACAAAAAACTGGAGTATTTGAAATGTATAATTTGGTAAGGTTGATATTGTGAAACCATCACCAAAATCAACATAGTGAACATATTCATCACTCCTAAAAGTTTTCTTGTGCCCCTTTGTAATTCCCTCCACCTCTCCCCTTCACCCCATGTCCCCAGGCAACCACTGAAGTGTTTTCTGTCACTGTAGATAAGTTTGCATTTTCTAAAATTTTATGTGAGTGGAATCATAAAATATTTATGTTTTTTAATCTGGCTTCTTTCAGTCAGCATTATATTTTGAGATTCATTTTGTCACTTTGTGTATCAGTAGCTCACTTCCTTTTATTGTTGAACAGTATTCCATTATATAAACATATGGCATTTGTTTATCCATTATATAAACATATGGCATTTGTTTATCTTGTTGCTACCCATCCTAACCAACACTTGAAATGGTCAGTCTTTTTAATTTTAGACATTTAAATAGATATATTATGGTATCTCACTGTGATTTTAATTTACATTTCCGTAGTGACTAATGGTGTTGGCCATCTTTTTGTGCGCTTACTTACAATTCCTATGTCTTCTTTGGTGAAGTATGTGCTCAAACCTTTCACTTATTTTTAAAAACTTAGGTTTTTATTATTGTTTTTGGTGTTTTTTAAAATATTCTGTGTAAGATTCCTTTATCAGATGTATGATTTGCAAGTGTTTCCTTCCAATCTGTGTCTTGTTTCATTCTCTTAATAAATGTCTTTCAAAGAGCAGAAGTTCTTCATTTTGATGAATCTCAACATATCAAATTTTTCTTTTATAGATTGTACTTTCAGTGTTGTATCTAAGTAATTTTTACCTAACTCAATGTCACAAAGATTTTCTCCTGTTTTTCTTTCTAGAATTTTTATCGTTTTAAGTTTTACATTTAGGTCCATGATCTATTTTAAGTTAATCTTTTGCATATGGTGTGAGATTCGGTACAAGGCTCCTTTTTTTGTTGTTGTTGTTTTTCTTGCATATGGCTATCTAATTGTTCCAGCATCATGTGTTAAAAAGACTATCCTTTCTCCACTGAATTGCCTTTGTACCTGTGTCAAGATCAGTCGATCATATATGTTTGGGTATATTTCTGGACTCTCCATTTTGTTCCATTAGTATATTTGTCTATTTTAAAACCAATACCACATTTGTCTTGATTACTATGACCTTATAATAAGTCTTGAAGTCAGGCAGTGTGAATACTCCAATATTTTTCTTTTCTTCCAAAATTGTTTTGGTTCTTTGAGGTCCCTTGCATCTCCATATGAATTTTAGACTCAGACTGTCAATTTCTATAAAAAGCCTGCTAGGATATTCATTGGGATCAATTTGGGGAGAACTAACATTTTAAAAGTATTGAGTCTTCTCACCCATGAACAAGGTGTATCTCTCCATTTGCTTAGGGCTTCTTTAATTTCTCTCAGCAATATTTTGTGGTTTTCAGTCTACAGGTTTTTCATTTCTTTTGTCAGACTTATCTCATATTTTTTGTTATTATAAATGATATTTAAAAATTTTTAATTCCAACTGTTCATTGTTAGTATTTAGAAATACAATTGATTTTTATATATTAATCTTATATAATCTTGGTAAACTTACCTATTAATTTTAGCAACTTTTTGTAGATTCTATAAAATTTTCTATATAGACTTTATGTTATGTGTGCATAAAGATAGTTTCACTTCTTTCTTTCCAGTGTGGGCATCTTTTTCCACTTTCTTACCTTGTTGCATTGGCTAGAACCTTCATGACAATGTCAAATAGAAATAGCAACAGTGGCCATCTTTACCTTGTTCCTGGTCTTAGAGGGAAAGCATAGGATCTTTTACCATTAAGTATGATGTCAGATGTAGGTCTCTGTAGATCTCTTTAGTCAGATTAAAAATGTTTCTTTATATTCCTAGTTTGTTGTGAGCTTTTATCAGATTTTGATGATGGATTTTGTCAAATTCTTTCTCTGCATTGATTGAGATGATTGTATGGTGCATTGATTGATTTTCTAATGTTAAACCATTCTTGCACTCTTATTCCTGTCATGATGTATTATCCTTTTTTATATATTGTTGGGTTCAGTTTGTTAAAATTTAAGAATATTTGCATCTATATTCATGAGGGACATTGATCTATAGTTTTTATTTCCTTGTAATGTATTTGTTTGGCTTGGGTATCTTTCTGACTTTGACGTCATAGAATGAGTTGTGAAGTGTTCCCTTCTCTTCAATTTGTCTTAAATTGATATTCTTTCCTTTTTAAATGTTTGATAGAATTTGCTAGAAAGTAATTTTGTTTGTTGAAATGTTTTAACTAAAAATTCAATTTTTAAAATAGACATATGGTCTTCAACTTGTCTATTTCATCTGGAATAAACTTTGATAGTTGTGTCTTTCAATAAACTTGTCCATTTCACATAAGTTCTTGAATTTATTAGCATAAACCTGTTCAAAGTATACCATTACTATTATTTTAGTATCTGTAGAATTTATAGTGCTGCCACCTCCCTCATTCTTGATGTTGGTAATTTGTGTCTTTTCTCATTTTTTTCCTGATCAGGTTGGCTGGAGATTTATCAATTTTTAAAATCTTTTCAAAGAACCAGGTTTCAATTTTATTGATTTTCTTGATTATTTCACTGTTTTCTATTTCATTGATTTGGACTTTGTCTTTCATTATTTCTTTTCTTCTGCTTATTTTGAGTTAATATACTCTTCTTTCTCTAGAGAGTTAAGGTGGAAATCAGGCCATTTATTTGAGAACTTTCCTTTTTTTCTAATAAATGCATTTGAGTGCCATACATTCCCCTCTATGTGTGTACTGCTTTAGCAGTGTCCTTCAAATTTGATATGCTGTATTTTCATTTCATTCGGTTAAAATATTTTCTAACTTCCCTTTTAATTT